AAGGGGGAGGAATTGAGGAAGGGTAGGGTGTGTGGGTGGAAGGAGGTGGGGTTTGGGGGGTTGGAGCGCTGCTCTGGGACCTGGAGGGGAGGCTGCTGCAAACTGGAGACACTGGCTGGTTCTTCTTTGTTTTTTTTTTCCTGTCGGAGGAGAGTTTTTACTGCTGTTCTCTGCTTAGCTGTTACTGACTGCAGGCCTGGCTCACTGCAAAATCCTCACCAGTTGAAGGTCATGAGTTTTCTTCCATTGGGAGAACTTTCTGTTTTATTGCTGTTTTTTTTGTTTCCCTCCCCCTTCCCCCCTCCTCCCCCACCACCCAGCGGCAACCAAGGATCTCACAGCGCCGCCTGGTGACGGGCACTGGACATTACAAGTTCTACTCTTCCAGTGATCCAACAGCGCCACCTGGTGACTACTATAGAACACTACAAGTTCTGCACCTTTGATAACTCAACAGCGCCACCTGGTGAATGGTATAAGACATTACAAATTGTGCATCTTCAGTGACCCGACGGCGCCCCCTGCTGACTGTGGCTGGAACTGCACCAAAGGGTACTAAAAATTGAACTATTTAATTTCCCTTTTTGCCAGTTTATTGGTTTTGTTCTTGAAGGGGATTATTGGTGGGTATAGGGGTATTGCTTGGTTGTTTTACTTGGTTTTTTTTTCATGTTCCTGTTAATACACACATACCTTTTAATAAAGGGTTGTTATTTTTCCCTTTTCCATAATTTGTTTTCCTTCAATAGGAGCCTCTTAATTTCGGATTTATAATTGCTTAGAAAAGGAAGTTTGGGTCTCTTTCTCCTAATCCATCCTCAGTAAAAGACCTTTATCTCATTTAAACTGGGGCAATAATATAGAGATGTTTCTGTTACTGCTGAGCAGTGCTCACAGAGTGTCAAGGTCTTTTCTATTCCTTGTACAGCCCCACCAGTAGAGTGGGGGTGCACAAGAAGTTGGAAGGAGACACAATTGGGACAGCTGATCCTAACTGACCAAGGGGATATTCCATACCATATGGCATCATGCTTGACATATAAAGCTGGGAGAAGAAGGAGGAAGGGGGAATGTTCAAAATTATGGCATTTGTCTTCCCAAGTAAAAATTATGCATGATGGAGCCCTGCTTTCCTGCCTGCCAATGGGAAGTGGTGAATGAATTCCTTGTTTTACTTTGCTTGCACACATGGCTTTTACTTTCCCTATTAAATTGTATTTATATCAACCCATGAGTTTTCTAGCTTTTACCCTTCCAGTTCTCTTCCTGATCCCACTGTGGATGAGTGAATGAGCAGTTGTGTGGGGCTTGGTTGCCAGTTGGTGTTAAACCACAACACAAGTGCAAGGTCCTGCACCTGGGTTGATGCAATCTCAGATATCAGTACAGACTGGAGGATAAAGGGATTGAGAGTAGCCCTGCAGAGAAGGACTTGGGGGTATTGGCAGATGAAAAGCTGGACATGAGCTGGCAACATGCGCTCGCAGCCCAGAAAGCCAATCCTATCCTGGGCTACATCAAAGGAAACATGACCAACTGGTCAAGGGAGGTGATTCTGCTCTTCTATTCTCTCTTCTCACCTGGAGTACTGCATCCAGCTCTGGAGTCCTCAGTTCAGGAAAGACATGGACCTCTTGGAGCAGGTCCAGAGAAGGGCCATGAAAATGATCAGAGGGATGGAACACCTGTTCATTGCAGGGGGGTTGGACTAATGTAATAATGCAACCCAAATCATTCTATGATTCTTCTGTTAAATTTAACTTCCAGTAGGATAACTAGAATGTTTCTGTGGAGTTAAATAATAAATCATTCCTTTAAGGAGCTGCTTATGCACTTTCATTCATAAATACTCTATTTTATCCTGGTCCACAAGGATAGAAACTGTCCTCTGATATAAAGAAATCACTTCTGAATCCCTGGTTGTTGCTGAACAAAGACAGAAATTCATGTTAATATGAAGACACGGCGGGCAGGCACATCCAGAGGTGGGCCCCAGCCTGAGTGTGGTGCCGGGCGGGAATGCGGGAGTGCATCGCCTCCATGCAGCTCTCGGCACATGACCAGGGGTGCCGCAGCAGCCCGTTAGGCGCGGCGGGAGTTCGGCCCTGTGTTCTTGTCACCTCCAGATTCCTCTCTCAGAGGCTGAGGGGCAGCACGCAGTCAGCTGCTCTTTGGAGAAGCCTATGCAACTTTTAAAAAATCGGTTTTTCTTTCCTTGCCTTTTCTGTCCTGGCAGAGAGCTTGTTCTTAGCCGTGAAGAATTAATAGCAAGATAACATATGACTCAGCCAAATGACAGGACCTTTGGTTGCCCTGAAATAGTACTTGGCAGTCACCAGAGAGGAAGAGCAGAAGAAATACTTCAAGCATATTTGTACTATTTGCTTTCAGTACTAAGGCATTTCTGTGTGATGTGTCTTCAGGGGTTTTTTTTTGGTGTGAACTGCTGTGTAGACAAGCTCTTAGTTCTGTTCTTTGTTAGATGTTACTGGAACAAGGCATATGATAATGGATGTCCTTTATGTAGCCGGATCCCATTGTGGAATAAGAAGGATCTTGATCCTGCACTGATCCTTGAACTGGAGGACCCAGATGCCATGCTATTTATTCCACTGACAAGTGGGGCAAATTGTAATTATGGCAGTGAAAGGTTTCACTGTTGCTGTCATCCAGGAGATTCTATTGTCAGCTTTACAATGCTAAAGTGATTCCCCTTTTTGAAACTAGTTAGCATGAGATCTCTTGCTTGTAACTCCTTAGCATTTATCTGTGTGTAACCTAGTTTCCCAGCCTCCAAATATGATTCTGCAAAAATTAGTCCTCCTCCATGTGCCTGTTGCTACATAGCCCTTTCTGTTAAATTGTGCTAAAAGGACAGATGTCCCTAAATTGAGATTCACATTAATAATTACATGTTGTCATTCAGGTTACTTGACCACTGCGTCTTTCAAAATCGAGAGGGTTTTATTTGTTTGGTTAGTAATCTTTTTAATTTGTTTGGGGGAAGGAATATCTTTTGGGATTTTTTGTTTGGTTAGTTGATTGATTGGTTTGGGTTGTTGTTTTTTTTCCTGGTACCTCATGTGTCACTGAATAGAAAATACCGTAGTCTTAAAAAATAATTAAAGCTAAGGAAAAAAGAGTAATTTTATGTAGAGAAAGAGAGGGAGACTAAGGTTCTCTGTAGGCTTGCTGTCTTTTGATGTGTTTGATTAGTTAAATTTCAACATATTTGGAAAGAAATCCTTGCCTTTTTAGGATGATAGTAGTCCCAGAATAACAAGAGTAATTACTCTTAGATTGGTAAACCAGTTTTCCTTGCATTATATTCACATGGTTATAGGAAGCTTTGTTCTGTAACCCCAGTCAAACACATGCACTCTACCGTTTGTGTAAATACTGTGTAAATGTGTTTACTATTTTAGAAGACAAATTATTTGAAGGCAGCATAAGATATGGCAGTTAAAAAAGTAATGCAAAGTCAGTACATTGGCCCTGAAGCCATTAGAGTTCTGATGTCAGAGAGGCAAGTTAATCTTGAGTGACAACAGTCAGCCACTCAAATGGAGAACCTCTGCCTGGCATATTGCAAATATTTGGATTGTAGTGTGCTATTCAAGCTCTTACATAAACTTTCCTATAAAATGGAAGAATGGGATGGGAAAAAAAGATAATATATTTCTCCCTCCAACAGGTCTTCCCAGTCTTTTCCAGTCAGATCTTGTAAAACAACCTGGTGAGTGGTCTACTTGTCCAAGTGCTCCTGTACGTTTTTTTGGGTGTAGGCACACAATGGGTTACTGGTAGAGCCAGGAATAGCACTAGCAACTCCTTACTCACTGTTTGCTGCTGTAATCATACTAAATGTAGTTTCTCCCAGAGTCTAATACCATTTGAACAAGAATTTGACTCCTATTTTAGTAGTTGCATAGCAGATAAGAGCTTTATTCTTTCTTCTGCATGTGGAATAGTGCCTGAGACAATTGCCTGGCTCTGGAGAGACCAAAGGGTGTGTTTGAGCTTTTGCTTTGGCAGGGACCTGCCCCTTAGTCTACCCCTGCTATCCAGGAGGTGAAGTTGAAATGCTTTTGTGCCCAGGACTCTATTTATGTAGGGCTTTTTGGAGAAGTGTGGGGGGACGCTAGTCAGATGTAATGGTCCTACGGAGTTCAGGTAATAGAGGAGGGTTTCAGTGGTTTTTGTTTGATTTAATAAAACAATTCTAGAAATTACTTATTTTGTAGCAGTTTAATCAATCTGTTAAAAAGATACTTTTCAGGAAAGTGAAGACAGTTTCTGATTGCATACACAGTTTTTTGCTATTCCAGTCTCTGCTCTGTTTTGTGGAGGACTCAGACTCTCTTATTAGTTCCTTGGATGCTTTAGTGGTTAACAGTCAAATTATGAAGTACAGTGAGTTTGACGTGTCCTAGCCCTAGCAGTTCCTAGAGTTGGTTTTCATAAAGGAAGAGTGTCTTTTATTTGACACTCAACTACACAAATACACATTCCCAAGGGGTCTGTGCGGAACACCTGATGTGCTGTGCATAATCTCTGTAAGTGCCAGAGGGAGCGAATTCGACATGGAGCTGTGCTTAGTTGAGCTGAGAGAAGATTTATGCCATAAAATTGTGTATAAACAGTGGCATACTATCTCAATAAAGCCCTTGTTAATGGCATTTTCCTTTCTTTTTTTAAAATTACATAATGAAAGAAAACTCTTTGAATTCTTGGCTTTATAGAGGTAACTATTTCACTACTTATCCATATTTTTATCCTCTATTGCCTTTGGCAAGCTCCAGTATTTATATTTACCAAATGGAAGAAGAGGGCATGTTGCTTCTGTGAGCAGGTTATGGGGTTTTGCTGTTGCCTTGGGAGACTACAAGATCAGTTCTGAAGTACCAAAACTTAAAATAACTCTGATCCTTTTATGGGCAGTGTTGCAGGATTTGGAAGTTCATAAGACACAAGTTAGTCTTGTTGTCAGTATGGTTTTCTTGTAGAATTTGTATACATTACCTATGTTTTGAAAGCTATTCCTTTCCTTTTTGCATTTGCAAGGTGGTTGAGTACTGAAACCTGTGTTCCTCCTTGTAGTCTTAAATGGAGATCAGAAAAAAACAAGTGAAACGTGCATTTTCTCACAGATAGGTAGCTGCATTGCCATGGTAACTTGGGGATTTCAAATTCCAAATACACTATGTCTGTTCACAATAATTGGACACTGCTGTTGGAAACAGGGATACAAAGATAAATCTTGTTTTCCTAGTCCTTTGTTTCTGCTACATACAGTGAAAGGGAATGTCTTTTTCATATGCAATCCTTGTTGTTAAGTTCTCCATATTTGTTTGTCCTCTCATAAACACCTTTTTTTTCTTCAAGAAAATGCCACAAAAATTGGAATATTGTGTAAAAGTACTGCATAGTAGCATGGAAAGAAGTGAATGTGCCAAAACACACGTTACAAATTATGCATGGACCAAATTGTATGTATTTTAAAAGTAAAACTACTTTGTTTTTCTAGTCATGCACTTAGTTCTTGGTTGTGTTGGTTGGTTTGGGGTTTTTTTCAATCCATAGTAAAATGGTAACTATCTTAATTGTGGCACACATATGATATTTCTAAGACTAGTTATTAAACATCATTTCTCAGGTGCTTTGTAATGGAGTGAGCAAATCTGGCTGGGACGATTGTTGGCATATAACTTGTAGGCAGATTCTGGGTGCCATAGCAATCATCTTTCTTCTCAAGGAATTTTGTCCAACTTTCATGTTTTTAAAGGGAAACTTGCAAGAGTATACCAAAACTTATGAATTCTGTGATGTGCTGATTTAATCTTGTGTTGTTTTTTCTGACAGTCCCTGCCAGAGCAAGGGACTCTTAACATGAACGGGATCTAGAATGCTCACAATGATCTCGGTGATTCCCACACCTTTCTGTTGCTTCTGATGTGGGGTTTCTCACTGGAGAAGTTTTTGTAGAGCCCTGCGGGACTGGGCACAGGGATTTCCAGCTGTGTTTCCAGTGAATTCTCCTTCCTTTCCCTCTTTCTCCCTTTCACTTTTGACTTTCTCACTGTGTAAATGAAATAATGGCAGTCCTTGGGGTTTTTTGTAGTGTGGTTTGTAGGGGGTTTTTTTTCAGTTCTCTGAACTGCACTAGAAGTTGGTCCTTTGCCTCTGATAGTTTGTTCCTCCCCCAGCCCAATGTTTCTCAAAATTGAACTGCAGTATACTGAGTGGAAGTAATTTTATAAACCTGTATAATTGGCCAGAGGATGCTATAGGTGGGAACCAATACCAAGGAAATAGTACATTCAATCCTCATCTGAAATTTAGGACTCTTGAGATAGAGGAAGGAGAAGCCTTTGTAAAATCTCAGATCTATAAAGTATTGGCATTTAGATAGAGATAAAACTATCTGTGCCAAGTGTCATCCCTCCATTACTCTTCCACTTCTTCCAGAAAATTTAAAAATTTTCTTTAACTGTATTAGCCAGCTTTCAAAAGGAAAACCTGTAGAAAATGTGTCTCTGCAGGAACTGCATTTTAAGTTCAGTGATGGCTGGCAAAGGTAAAGATACATAAAGCTTCATAAAGATACATAAAGCTTCCTAGTTAAATTTCAGTGCTCTTACTGTCAAGTTGCGGTAAGATTGCATAGTAGTTAATTTCAGTTTCTAAGGCTTTTCCCTAACAGTTTTTGTCCTTCCACTCCTCCCCCCTCCCCCTGCTTCCCCCAGAGTATGTAGTAAAGCAAGTTAGATCTCTTGCTTTACTTATTTTGGTTATCATGTAACCTGGTGGCTCTCTCCTAACATTACAGTTGTATAGTTTCACATTCGGCAGTAGGGGCTGTAAAACCAGATGGAGAAGGGTTTAGCTTTATACTTAAAAACTTGTGAAGTGTGTGATATGGGGGAATGAGATGGGTTGTGAGCAAACCCTTTGCCTTTTTTGATGTCTGGTGCATAGTGGTGTGCTCGCTGGCATAGGTTGGGTGGAGGCTGTGAGGACACATAGGAGGGAAAGACGCTTGCCCCATGCCAGCCATCAGGTCTGCAACACACATGGAGGT